AACACGCTCTGGAAAAAACATGGATTTTCGCCCCTGAGTGATGGTTATTTAAATTCAATTATGTATTTTACGTTTATTCTCTGTCCACCCACACCAAAGCGCATGTAAACGTTGTATTATTTTACTAAAAACTTGATATATTTTATACATTTGTACATATTAGGCCAGGAAGTGGGAGCTTCTCCCGCGTCTCATTCCGTAAAGACAAATAATACATATACTCTCATTATCACCAGAACCGTCTACACATGGACAAGCTATAATCACAAGGAGTATATACATTGACGTACAGTTAACTTTCTGATAGGTAGGCTCGATTTGTTCTAAACAGTTCCGAACCCTGGAGATTACGTGATATAAAAGTGCTCCAATACACTCTTTAATGAATAATATCATGCCACTATTCATTTCCTCCTTGTTTGTTTCGGGTGATCGTTTGATAAGGATGACGGTGCTTCAACAGAAGGGGCGCACCTGCTGCAGACATGCGCGTGACAGTGCCACCGACAAGATAAAGGTTTAATTACTGTACATCAACTCGAGACAATCCTAAACCAGGGTGGTCGATTTGTCTCTGGTTTCCTCCCATATATTACAACATGCACGCTTCCAACAAGAGCAATTAATATATGTTGATAGAACTCGTTTCATGATAGCCGCCTACTCTGTACGTGTATTTATCTCAATATGCATGCTTTAAGTGGGTCCTACTCGGTTGATTTTAATTCCTGTCAGCTTTATTTCTTTCTGTGTCGCAAAGAATAGAAATGGAAACTGCCAGAGTTTAGGGGCCCATGGTTCAGCCTCAAACAATACAGTGCGCTCGACGCAAGTACGGTATCGCTAGGGACATATACATGTGTACCAGCTAAAACGAAAATCTATTACACAAAAAGTGACCCGTTCAAAAGTTCCCTGGAATGTAGTGTTAGGAAGTCTATAGATCTATGAAAAAGAGACATTTATAACTCGGTCATGAAGGATGCAGAATCCGGATAAGGGCTTATAAAGGTTGTGGTTTAAGTGAAACAGAATAGCATACATATAATAACATCGGTAATAAGAACAAAAATGAGTGGTCACCTAAACCAAATACGGTATCTTGTCTGATTTACCTTGTAGTGCGACAATAACGGTCCACCTCAGTACCAGTTTCATGATAAACGTGACTAGTGAAGCTCACCTCAACACCAGACATCATGGACAAAGTTGCGACTATACTTCCCAACCGCTTACCAGTTTAGTGTCCTTTACTTTATAGTAACATTCCAGTATATTTCGCCTGTTGATCAGTTTACACTTCACAGTTGATTCTCTACTTCACATTCTTCTCTAAATATGCGGATTTTCTATATATACTATGGCAAGCCAACTTAACATTTATTCAAGGAGCAATGTCGATCCTGTATTTCATCGAATTATATAAGATATCTTATATAGCATATGAGATATCTTATATACTATATAAGATATCTTATATCGTATATAAGATATCTCATATAGTATATGAGGTATCTTATATAGTATATGAGATATCTTATATACTATATGAGATATCTTACATAGAAATTAAATGAGATGCTATAAAATATATCTTATATGATATATAAGATATCTTATATCGTATATAAGATATCTCATATATTATATAAGATATCTTATATATCATATATGATATATAAGATATCTTATTTAGTAACGAGACTTTAATTCTATAAGATATCTTATATAGGAAATTAAATGAGATATCTTATAAACGATATAAGATATCTTATATAGGAACGAGATTTTAACAAAATGTCGAAAATGAAGTCTCACCGTCCGGAATATATCGAGGATCTACGTAGGGACAGTAGTCTTGTTGTAACAACACGTGTTCCTGTCGCCGCCGTTATGTCTGAGCCCACTTCAAGAGTGCGGGAAATGGCAGCCTCTGCTTTGGCCGCTATAAGAGAGACAAGGCGAGCTAGGCCTAGGGAAAATACAGCATCCGTACCATCCCTCTCCGCCATTGCGCCCAATGCAATCCTGAATGTGCTCCGAATGATTCTCGAGGGAGAAATTAGTTTCTGGTTTTTAATGCCACGAAATCTCATTCTATATCAGATATCTTATATACTATATATGATATCTTATATATTTATATAAGATATCTCATTTAATTGGACCCCATAAGTGAAATTCATACAAAGGTTGGAGCCAATAACTGCAGCGGTTCTTTAGAAGAAGTTGATATTGTCTCTTGACAATCAGTGCACAGGGCGGATATATTGTATTTCTGGTAGACCCGAAAAATTAGAAACAAAAAACAACCTCGGAGAATGCTGAGGAATGGGAATCAGGTTGGTGGGAAATGCAAGTAGACTTTAACTTGAGTTGACTTGAACTGTAGCAAACCATCTTGAAAGACTGCATCTTTGAATGATGAATCATGAAAAAAATGTGAAGAGGAAACAAAAAATAATTAATTGAATTTTCAAATATTATTGACTTTATTATACAAAAATATTATGCAATACAAAAATATATTATAATATACTACATAATTCTTCCTCTACTACCCAACTACAGTTAATGCATGTAAAACTATGTATCATGGCACTGCCTATGTACCCTTCAAAATACAAAATTTTTGAGTGTATGACAGATCTTGTTAAAACGACTTAATTACATTGAAGGTTAAACAAACAAGTGAATGTATTAATATTATTATGTTGAATATCAAAGAAACTAGACATGAAGTCTATAATGAGGTGAACATTTTTTTCTTTCTAATGTTTGCAAGAGAAGTCTGTCTTTCAAATCCAAAATCACACACAGTATTTGGTCGCCCCATATCAAATAACTAGATCACAATAACAATATTTCTTATAGTAGAGCCGTGTATGAATAAATTATTTTCACTGCACATATATCTACCAGTCATACATTTTTTCTTTCAAGTGGATCAAGCATATGAAGGATGAGACGATACATAATTTGATTTACATTTGATCTATCGCTTCCTTCCTACAAATGTATATACCATAGATGTTATGGAGTAAACATAGTTGTCACGCCCACCACTGTTTGTAACATAGGGAGGATGTGGTAAGGCATATTGCAAACATTATGGTAGAAATGGGTGTAATCACTACTTCATCTATACACAAGTTCATGTTAAGAGATCAAAATGAATGTTATGATGAATTGTCCCAAAATAGTTTATCCTACATTTAAAACAGCCTACTAACATTATTGTTTGAACTTCTGTCTTCATGACTTATATATCATGAGATAAGTACACTTACTGATGCATTAACATATCATGAGATTAGTAAACTAACTGATGCATTAACATATCATGAGATTAGTACACTAACTGATGCATTAACATATCATGAGATTAGTACACTTACTGATGCATTAAAATATCATGAGATTAGTACACTAACTGATGCATTAAAATATCACGAGAATTAAATGATATTTGTCAAAAATACAAGTATACAAATGACCATCAAAACAGTAGTATCAAAATAGACATCAAATACAGGTTCTGTATGGTGAAGATGGGAATGAAAACTTACATTTTATTAAATTGCACTACAATTACCGGCAAAGCTTGACTTTACAGACATCAAGAGAACTTTAACTTGTGTTAAGCAACATGAAGGGACACTGATTTTTTTGGTCAGACAGGACAATGACACAGTAAACCTGTCTATACTGACATTAACAGGGACTGAAGTTTTTGGTCATATGACTGTGTAAGTTACATCTGGGAACTACTCTAGTCTTTAGAGGACATATCAAACATGTCAAATTTTACAAGATGCCCATTAAATCATATTGTAAAGTAGTTATCAAGCCTTAACAACTGTTCTTAAGCCTTGACAACTGTTCTTAATAAGTTACACTTCCTCAGGCAAAGGCAGGAAGAGAGGTAACTCAATCTAAATTGTTGATATAGGTGTCAACCTCTGAAACCTCCAATTAGGGAATTCCACATTTTCAATGAGGGAGAGGGTGTTTTTTTATATATAATCTGTGGGTGACCACAGGACTTCTACTCATTTTTTTGTGTTTTTTTTTGTTTTAGAGCTGTTCAAGTAATAACCATATGCAAAGGATGGGAGGCACTTTTTCAGACCACACCACCCATCAACCACTAAAAATAATTTAATATTAGAAATGACTGGCAGATCAGGTTTTAAACCCAGCACCCATAAAATATTAATACAGGTGCCTCCCACCTCCCCCATATGATTAATTATGGAATAGACCTTAGCAAACACGAAAAAAACATTTAAATAAAGACAAAAAAACCTGGATACAATCAAGTGAAATCTAGAACAGCGATGACTATTGAGTATTCGCAGCACATACCTATGTACCATCACTTGTGTTTTAGAAGATGTTTTGTTATGGATTTACATCAATTTTTAAAATTGTGAATATATATATATGTATTTGAATCATTATGTGCACTGGAAAAAATTGCAACTGTTTTATTATACCATCAAATAAATGTTTGATATGTAACGAGTAGCGACAACTACAGAGACTTCATAAGTAACAATCTTATCATGTCAGGAATCCTCACTGAAAGACAAATTGGTGACATTTCTAAATTAGGATTTGCTCTATTTAATTTTTTGACTAAACGTTATAGCATGAACTGGTAAGTAACACACTAAAGCATATGTCAGATAAAAATAATCTCAGACTTGTCTCAATCCGGTTTATGGAAATTGTTTTATATAAAACTGAAACATTTCTCCGATCCTTTCTATCGAATACAATGTTCTTAAATTTGTAAAATATCAGACTCTGAGAACTGGGTGATATATGTATATAGCATACACAATGGTCCCATTATAAAAAACATTTAAAAACTGTGTAAATACATTGGCTCTATAAGTAAAAGATTTTCCAAAAACATTTACAACTGTACACAAGTACCAATCTATAACAACTTTAACTTAGAATGTATGGCATCTTAGGGAACTTCTGCATTCCATTTTAACTAATTGAAATTATCAGCTAAAGCTTAACCTTGAAATAAAATAATTGTGATATGTATAAATTTGTTCAAGAAGCTGGAAACTCATTTTGTGTGGAAAACTGGATCTTGCTGTGAATAATGTCCCTTATTATGGCCAGCTGATCCAGGTTAGGACACACTTGAATTTCCTGAAACATTCCACTGATATGATGTCTTTGTTCCAGTGTAGAGTTAAACATGTTGCACACTAGTGGTGATTGTTCGGGGACTGTTGGTGATTAGCCAGTAAATACCGACTCTTATCATACGTTCTGTCATAACCTACAACAAAAGAGAACATTCATTAAACTATATTAATAGAATCAATCCCTGATGTGAGGTAAGGATAAGGTTATTCAAACCCTCGGGATAAAAATATTGAGCAAAAGACCCTCGGCAAAGCCTCGGGTCTCCAGCTCAATATTTTATCCCTTGGGTTTGGATTCAGGGATGGATTCTATTTCTTGCTTATTACCTAAAACCTGTAAAAACAGCTGCTCTTCTAGTAAAGTTGTAAACTGTCCACACATTTCTCATTTGCATATGAAGCCTGGATGACGTTAGTGATGTCAATGACCCTGACTGACCCCAAAGCGTCATAAAATGACGTCACAAACAATAGCGTGACCCCGAAAGGTCACTATAATTCCCTTGCCATTCTGCGTGTGTAGGCGATCCAGACCCGTGGGTCAGATAGTTTTCCAGCACTGCCGGAAATGCGGATATCTCGATCAAGTATGCAAGAAAACACATTACAGTAAGACAGGTCTAATATGGAACCTTTTCTCAATTACATCTCACCTATACATCAAGTCTACCACTGTTTATATTCAATTCTTCAGTTTTTGAAATTTTGACAGAGATATGCAACTTACTGTCACAATCATGACCTTCTTTTGCTACAATAACAGAATTCTCCGAGGAACGCATGAAAACGACTTTGGAAAAAAAAGGTCTTAATACATATATTGTCAAAATTATATATAAATATTGTATCATAAAATGCTGAATTGAATAAGAATTACAAGTTGTAAAACAGTAATTTATCACATTTCATTTAAACCAGTGTTCATTTTTCACATGCCATTTTTCCTCGTCAAGTGTATATAAATCATATGTGACCTGACATGTGCACCAAAAATGCATGATGTAATAATGCATGCCAATTGCCATACCATACATTTCGCATGTGACAATTACTCATGCGGGCTTAAACTTATGAAAACAATGATATGTTGTTATGTTATTGCCACACGATTCCATTGCTTCATTTTGGTTTTGTTGTAAGGCAATATACTAATCTTTTATCTACTATATATTTTGTAACTCAAAACTGTTACTGTTGGAATATTATGTGTTGTAAAGCGCCTTTAGTAATTTTGCAATATTATATAGGGCGCTATATAAATGTTGTACAGTATAATATTATTTTCATTATAAACAGCTGTTAAAGAGGTGATTTCACTGAGGCAGATTTGTTATGTTATGATCAAGGTGGATTTACATATAGAACATATGTCTAGTATTTTCAAGAACAGGTTTTCTGTTAATGTCACATTTCTCTTTACAGATGAAATACAATTTTTCTGAAAATTACAGACACACCCTCACAGTATATTTGGTTTTCTCATTCCTATCACTTACCATATGGGAAAAAACGGACTTGCATGTTTATGCTTATGTTTCTTTTTAAAATGTTCACCGCCTGAAAAAAAGACCAACAACATTAAATAATTATATAAAAATGAATAAATTGGAAAATACATAATTATCGGAGTTCATAAACATAAAGGACTTTTTCACAAAATATTGATATTTCTTCACAGAAATGGATATATATTCTTGTCATTTATTCGACTCATTGGTCACATCCAATAACTTATTATTCTATTTGTCTACCTCAATAAAATGGTTACAGAAAACTAAATACAGTTAATCTGTTAAGAAAGCAAGACAAAGTATTGCGAGCAATCTATATTCCCACACCTCCAGACATACTTTGGTATCAAAAACAGAACAAAGGGCCATAACTCTGTATTAAGTGATGGGTACCTACGTACATCTTTAGCGATTGTAAGTGACGGGAACCCACGTACATCTTTAGCGATTGTAAGTGACGGGAACCCACGTGCATCTTTAGCGATTGTAAGTGACGGGTACCCATGTACATCTTTAGCGATTGTAAGTGACGGGAACCCACATACATCTTTAGCGATTGTAAGTGACAGGAACCCACGTACATCTTTAGCGATTGTAAGTGACGGGACCCCACGTACATCTTTAGCGATTGTGAGTGACGGGTACCCACGTACTCCTTTAGTGATTGTGAGTGACGGGTACCCACTTACATCTTTAGCGGTTGTAAGTGACGGGTACCCACGTACATCTTTAGCGATTGTAAGTGACAGGAACCCACGTACATCTTTAGCGATTGGGAGTGACGGGAACCCACGTACATCTTTAGCGATTGTGAGTCACGGGTACCCACGTACACCTTTAGTGATTGTGAGTGACGGGGACCCACTTACATCTTTAGCGATTGTAAGTGACGGGAACCCACGTCCATCTTTAGCGATTGTAAGTAAGGGGATCCCACGTACATCTTTAGCGATTGTAAGTGACGGGAACACACGTACATCTTTAGCGATTGTAAGTGACGGGACCCCACGTACATCTTTAGCGATTGTGAGTGACGGGAACCCACGTACATCTTTACCGATTGTAAGTGACGGGAACCCACGTACATCTTTAGCGCTTGTGAGTGACGGGTACCCACGTACACCTTTAGCGATTGTGAGTGACGGGTACCCACTTACATCTTTAGCGGTTGTAAGTGACGGGTACCCACGTACATCTTTAGCGATTGTGAGTGACGGGTACCCACGTACACCTTTAGTGATTGTGAGTGACGGGTACCCACTTACATCTTTAGCGATTGTAAGTGACGGGTACCCACGTACATCTTTAGCGATTGTGAGTGACGGGAACCCACGTACATCTTTAGCGATTGTGAGTGACGGGTACCCACGTACATCTTTAGCGATTGTGAGTGACGGGAACCCACGTACATCTTTAGTGATTGTAAGTGACGGGTACCCACTTACATCTTGAGGGATTGTAAGTGACGGGAACCCACGTACATCTTTAGCGATTGTGAGTGACGGGTACCCACGTACACCTTTAGTGATTGTGAGAGACGGGCACCCACTTACATCTTTAGCGATTGTAAGTGACGGGAAACCACGTACATCTTTAGCGATTGTAAGTGACGGGTACCCATGCACGTAGATCTTTAGCGATTGTGAGTGACGGGAACCCACGTACATCTTTAGTGATTGTAAGTGACGGGAACCCACGTACATCTTTAGCGATCGTAAGTGACGGGAACCCACATACATCTTTAGCGATTGTAAGTGCCAGGAACCCACGTACATCTTTAGCGATTGTAAGTGACGGGAACCCACATACATCTTTAGCGATTGTAAGTGACAGGAACCCACGTACATCTTTAGCGATTGTAAGTGACGGGAACCCACGTACATCTTTAGCGATTGTAAGTGACGGGAACCCAAGTACATCTTTAGCGATTGTAAGTGACGGGAACCCACATACATCTTTAGCGATTGTGAGTGACGGGTACCCACTTACATCTTTAGCGTTGTAAGTGACGGGAACCCAAGTACATCTTTAGCGATTGAAAGTGACGGGAACCCACATACATCTTTAGCGATTGTAAGTGACGGGTACCCACCTACATCTTTAGCGATTGTAAGTGATGGGTACACACGTACATCTTTAGCGATTGTGAGTGACGGGAACCCACGTACATCTTTAGCGATTGTTAGTGACGGGTACCCACATACATCTTTAGCGATTGTCAGTGATGGGTACCCACGTACATCTTTAGCGATTGTAAGTGACGGGTACCCACATACATCTTTAGCGATTGTAAGTGATGGGTACCCACGTACATCTTTAGCGATTGTGAGTGACGGGTACCCACGTACATCTTTAGCGATTGTAAGTGACGGGTACCCATGTACATCTTTAGCGATTGTAAGTGACGGGAACCCACGTACATCTTAAGCGTTTGTGAGTGACGGGTACCCACGTACATCTTTAGCGATTGTGAGTGACGGGTACCCATGTACATCTTTAGCGATTGTAAGTGACGGGTACCCACTTACATCTTTAGCGTTTGTAAGTGACAGGTACCCACTTACATCTTTAGCGATTGTAAGTGACGGGTACCCACGTACATCTTTAGCGATTGTAAGTGACAGGTACCCACTTACATCTTTAGCGATTGTGAGTGACGGGTACCCACGTACATCTTTAGCGTTTGTAAGTGACGGGTACCCATGCACGTACATCTTTAGCGATTGTAAGTGACAGGTACCCACTTACATCTTTAGCGATTGTAAGTGACGGGTACCCACTTACATCTTTAGCGATTGTAAGTGACGGAGTAAATGAGATATACATTAGAAATATGACAAATGGTGAAGAAAGTGACATATCTCTGACATCCCTAGAAGTATGCATATACAAAATTTGGCCATTATTTATGACAGTATGAGAATATGGTCTAGACAAAGTGATACATTGTCCAACAGACTGATGGACTGACAAACGGAGCGTAAAGCCATAGCCCTCCAGTAGTATTGTTAGGGACTAATAAAAATAAGAATGGTCACTGGTTAGGCACATATCCAGAACTTTATGTTCGCAAGTGTACTATATAATTTATGAGTTGATAATAAAATATATCATAGGTGTCAGCCTCTGAAACCTCCAATGAAGGAGATCTCCCACATTCCACATTTCCAATGAGGGTGTGTGAAATACGACTGAAACTGCTTTACTCAATTTTTTTCCCATTTTATGTATCAAAATTACTCCAAAAAGGATTCATTTGGTTCAGACACACTTGTTATGATCACTTAACACATCCTGCAGTAACTAGGGGTAGGATATAATTTGACCACGGGATGAAGATTTTGAGTTTGTGTGAGTTTGGACTTGAATGAGGGAGTTTCGAGGCAGCTTGGTAAATATTGGTCAAAATGAGGGAGTCTCCTTCCTGATGAGGGAAGATTGACAGCTATGATATATTGTTCCACTGCTTATAAAAATGAATTGCTCTTTCTAGAATTACATATCAATGGTGTTTTTCTATGTGTTGTATGTCTTACCTCTGCGTGGTCTATATCCTCAAAGTTTACTCTGTTTACTGACAAAATCTGGAAATATATAAAACACAAGAATGTTTACCAAAAGGTCAAAAGAAGAACAGGTACAAAATATACACAAGTTTATTTAAGATGAATATTTATAGGGGTGTGTAGGTGGGGAGCCACTGTTTTTGCCATCTTTATCCAAATAATCTCCCCCCCCCCCCCCCCCCCCCCCCCCCCCCACACACACACACACACACACACACACTACATATTCTCAGATATAGTCTAGAAATCATAAAACACAAAAGATGTTTACCAAAAAGGTTGCAAATAGAAGAGATACAAAATATACTAAAATTTATTTTACAGGGGGTGTAGGTTGGGAGCCACCGTTTTTGCCATATTAAGTCAAATAATACCCCCTTTCCTCACAATATCTTTTTACAATTTCTGTTTATGTAGACTCCATCACCCATATGTAAAATAAAGTGCCTCCCTGCCCACATATACAGTCAAACCTGCTTGTGAGACCAGCTCCACTAAGAAACCACCTGTGCTAATCAATCATTATTACTGCATAGTAAAAATCAACAAATTGACTTTTATTGCTTACAGTACATTTTATACATTAAGTTCAGTGATGGATTGATTTAGGAATTTGTAGTCAATGATTGGAATTGGAAAGAGCAAACAAATTGATTTTTTGATTATATATTGATCGTCAACCAATCACTTTATTTCATGATCAAGAATTTTGATAGATTCTACAGGAGAAAATTAACACATTTTACATAAGTTTCCATAAAGTATATAAAGAAACCACATTATTAAAATTGTGAAAAAACAACACGTACTGTTGTCTGTCTTTCGATCCAACACTATTTTTGTATTAGGAACACATTCTAAAACTTGGGATACCCAACTATAATAATGAGATGTTATGTTCTATTTAAACAATACCTGATCTGCTTCCCGTAGTCCCAGTTTGTCTGCTTCACTGTCCAGCGTCACCTACAAAAACATTGCTATTGTCAGCCAGGAAACAAGAGGGATACAAACTCTTATAGAAGATTTTACAGACAAAAACATATAAAAAAAAAGAAATTTAACTGCAGAGCTCCGATGCATGCTTAATATTTTGCCTGGCTGATCATATATAAAGTAATAAATAGTTTCATATGAAGCTTACATGATGATTTATACTTATATTGAAGATGCACTACTTCAATATATTGAAAATACAGTGACATTCTTTTTGGAAGGGGAATATGCCATCCTAGTAAATAATGATACTTTAGCTGCTTTCTACCAACTAAGCAAGAGAGAATTTCTTATACACTTCATCAGTATAATGTAGATCATCAGTATTTAGAAGTTCTTCATTTTCATATACCAGTAGATCCTTAAAGAATATACACGTATTTAATGATAGTTTTTTTTTTTGCTCTTAGAAAAGTAGGAAGCCCGAGGAAGGGCCTTATTTGAGGAGGGATGCTGGAGAGTATAACAGTATGTATTCTGAGATTATTACTCACCTTGGATACATAGATCCCACAATGGTGTTCTTTCCCTCCTCGAATATTGAATCCAAGCTTCAAAAATATTGAATAAAAGAATAACAACAGAATTTGTTCTGAGAGAAATCAAAAGCAGCAAATTGTATGATACATCCGGGGACCCCCTACACCCAAATCCAATTTCAACATTTGATATTTTAAAGTTTCTGTGACCACTTTTGAGCTTTATTGAAGGACTTGATCTTTTTACCTGTAACCACTTAATTTTTAGTATTCATCTATCTATGCAAGCAAGCTACGTACTGTCTCTATCTGCATTATAACAAGAATTTTCTTTAAAAACAACATTTTACCCCCCCCCCCCCCCTTGTAGGTCCCTTATAGAAGATTGCACCTTTTCATACACACATCTGAATTAATAGTACCTCCTTTTTATGATATACTGGTTGTAACTGCCCTATTTGTTGTTGAAAAGACACCCAAAACAAATTTTGTGGATTGATAACAAAATGTGAAAAATATTTTTTCTGGATACAATTATTTAAATTTTTCCAGAAACAAAGATGGACACTAAAAGGTGGACTAGTAAAATTGTTACCTCTTATATAATATGTATAGATTAAATCTATATACACACTGGAAACCGAAAACTTAAATTAAAAGTGTTTGTGATCTTGCAAACCCTTTCACCCATAAACTCTTCCACGTATTGATTTGGATAAGTCCATTACGGTCTTCACTTACTAGTGGTGAAAGGTATAAACAGTGGCCAGGTCATAAAATACATCCGGTTGCGTGCAGCCAACCAAGTCCAGTAACTAGAATTTTCAAGCCAAAAGTTCACCTTCTTTTTATAGCTACCTAGCCTACTATTGACTTGATTTCATGTATAGCCCCCCCCCCCCGGGATTATCACTGGTAAATTACAGTATATTGTATGGTGTATTCACTATTCAATGGTGAACCTCTATCAGAGTATATTTCAACATAAGCGTGCAGGCACCCTGGACATTTGGAACAGCTTGATTGGGAAAATACAATTGTTCAGTCCAAAAATTTAATGTACATATTTGCACGGTTGGAGTGCACGTTACCTCTGAAATCTACACAATTGCCCCCTATAAATTTAACTTCCTAGTTACAGTGACAACCCATGTTCATATAGATCTGCATGTGTAGATATAACAGATGCACATACCTGTTCAGAAACTTGGTTACGCTGGAGAATTAAGTTTCTTGGCAGGAACTGTTGTAAGTCGTTATTATATTCATCACTGTAATTTCTCTACAAGACAAGATGATAGATTGAAAAATTTGGATCTAATTTCGACTACCATAATGAGATGGCTTAATACATGTATATTCATATACAATGTATATTGGTGTTAACATCATAATGGCATCGATCAATAACAGTAAAATATATGACTTATATATGTACATTATATACAATATTTAAAACTTTTTTACATTCTTACATAGATATATATATAGGACAATAATACTATTGCCTGCATGGAACCAAGTAGCCCGAGTTTCCTTTGGCCCTGACACCAGATTTAGACATTTTGACAGATATATGTCTGTTGTGGGCCACACCAGACATGTACATCTACATGTATAGATCTGTCAAAATGTCCAAGTCTGGAGTCAGGGCCAGAGGAAACTTGGGCTACCAAATGAGCTACAATGTACCTGGTCAACGACCATCAACCCAGTCCAGTTCCATTACAAACATATAGGACTGATATCAGTCTCCTGATGAACGGGGAATTAACCCGAGAAAGGCCTAGAGACGCTATCTCTGTCTTTTGTTGTATTTTTTATAGGACTATATTATATATAGCTATTATACATCATATATGTATCATATTTATAAAAAGGTTGTCAGGGCAAGAGGAAACTCGGGCCACCAATTGAGGTATATTAAACTACACTGGTCACTGACGGTCGACCCAGTCCAGTTCCGCTACAAACCTATAGGACTATATATATAGCTATTATACAATATGTATATATCAAGTCAAACCCCTTTTATTTATGTGAAATAAAAACAGAACAAAGACCTAGAACAGTAGAAGAAGTCAACAATGTTCTTTAAAGTAAAATAAAAAATATATATGTGAGAATAACAGTTTTTGGGTAAATTATCAATGCGCTTAATTGGCCGTCATATAATTTTAAGCACAGTCAGTGACATATATGTCTCTTCTTCTAGTAGAGTGCAGACCGTCTCTGACGTATTATCGCACTGACACTGATTGTGAACCCAAACAAAACAATGTGAAATGTACAAACGCCTTGAGGATGGATCCATTCAGGTGGATCTTCATAATCTGGTAGATTCGCGTACACTAATTCTTTCCCATCCTGTGTCATTTCGCTGTTTGAAGCAGGTTAATATCTGAAAATGAACCAAAACAGAGTGGTGTCTGCTACAAAATGTACAGCTATCAAAATACACCAAGCGCTTAAATAGTCAAGGTCGTAATGCGTATTATCCAAACATGTTCATGATCCAGATTTTTATTTCCCATAATTCTCTATTTTGTGTACATGTACTTCCTTTTTCGCCTCAAATCGCAAAAATGGCCGTAGGAAAAAATAAGAGGCTTACTAAAGGTGGCAAAAAGGGAGCCAAGAAGAAGGTGTAAGTGTACTAAAGTAATAAATGATAAAACACATATATACATCTGTCAAATAAACGCGAGTTTGTTGACTGATGTGAATGCTATTGTACGATTGGATGAGATTGAAACCCACTGATCAACCGGAACACACGCGTGAGATGACATTATTTACATGTGATATCACGACCGTCCTGTCGGTTTGTGGTTATTTTATTCCGCATATGTACAGTAGGCTTTGGTGTTCTGTCATATGTCTCCGTAAGACGAGCTAAATTGCTTAATTTAGTAAAACTTAGATGATAGTTCAATTCAACGTTCTCTCAGTATGGACTATAAACGAACTCTTAGTACATAGAGTACAAGTATATATGCGCCTTTATTATAGTGCTAGATCTTGTCAATAACTTAAAATTATGTTGAAAGTTGTTTAATGAGAATAAAACTTTATTTTCATGACTTTGTAACAATTAGATTTATATTGACAGTTCATTTGTTTACAAGAGCATTAGTCGGACACAAATGTCAGAACCCAATGTCAAGTGTTTTTTTTAACGCTGTCAAGATGACAACGCTACGTATTCTTGGAATGAGAAATCTTATTAAGCAACCTGTTGGACGTTTCTGAATTTATGACGAAGTTTTTGAAACTTAGCTACAGTTAACTGTCTCGATGCAGTAACCCCCCTCTGATTTTGCAGGCTCGCGTTAATTTCGAATCTTTGTGAGATTTGCTTTTCTCATGTGCCTTTATGCTACCAAGTTCGAAGTTATTTGATCCATCTGTCTACACATAAGACTGGCAACTCCCAGTACCTTGCTTGTCCTCTTTCTGTTTCATTTCACGGCAATACTTGCATTTCTTTACACTGTCCTTTGGCCTCTGTCTTGTAGCACAGCCAGTCCCATCCTACTAACCAATGCCTTTGGAACGATCTCAGTTTCCATGTATTCTCTATGTCCTTCGTTTGTTTGTTTGACATCCCCATCATAACGCAAAAAATGCACCATTCTGCTGAATAATTATGTCGCACAAATTATTGTCATATGGTTGTACACAAGTTCGGTCCCCATAGGTGGTTACAAGTAACAAAACAATGATGCTAGCAGCTTTGTGCAATTCTCGGTATTAGCACATCAAATATGTAAAAATATCTTGGAGGGAAAAAAAAAATAATTTTAGAATGAATGTTTCTCGGTTAATAATATATTGGTAACTGAAACAAGCAACAACAAAGCATGTCATTGGGTCGTAAAATTGCATTACCAATGGGGCTGTTACCACAATTTATCTTTTCATAGACTGACAGTATATTGTTATGGCTGAGGGTCATTGGGCCACCATTACTTAAAAAATTGATAACTGATCAACATCTGGGTTATTACTAGTGGTAGGAATCAGTTAAAATTTCACAATTGCTGGTTGATGTAACCAAAATACTAAATTTGTAATCCATATATGACATAAAATAAAAATGAACACCCTTTACCTTTGACAATATGTCGGGATATTTGTGAAACGAAATTGTCACTATACATTCCTTCTGGATTGCAATATATTGTGATACACTGCTGGTGTACTGTGATAACCCATATTCAACAAGTAGATAGTACGAGTGCAAAATACTGAACTTCTGAAGTGCACAAAGTTTTATCATTTCACCACACACATTTTGGAACAACTTGTTAAGCTTTCCCCAAGAATTGATGTCAATTGGCATGTGAGGAGTGCCACCAATGTCGATGCTCTTTAAGAGCTTGTTAGACCCTAAAAGAAGAGATAAATTTAGGGCCTTAAAACCATAAAAGATAAATTTATTTCTGCATCAAATTCTCAATTGTGATATTTTTTTCTCTTTCAGAATTGATCCCTTCACCAAGAAAGACTGGTATGATGTAAAGGCACCATCCATGTTTGTTGTCCGTCAGATCGGCAAAACTCTAGTGACAAGGACACAGGGAACAAGTAAGATATTATTAGAGATAACATGACAGCATTTAATTTAATAAAAAAAAATGCTTGGCATGGATAAAAAGCATGTGGAACACCTTTAAATGTAGAATGTAGACACTTCCTCAAACTAGTTTCCCATAGCAGCTTTCGTACTACATTTGTATTGTCTGAAATGATGTGCTGACAATTTGACAAATTTATGGTGGAAGTTTTCTAAAAACAAAAAAAAAGCAATTCTTGAAGTCATACACTCTGAAGCATAAACAAATCTGGAATTTTACGGTGAATAGTAATTCAAGTTTTTAACTTCTTTGGGCACCCTCATTGCAAATGAATCTAAATCTCTCTGTCCAAAGTTTTATATGAAGCCGACGGCCCATCACAAATATCATTACCCTTAATTATCATGTCTTGTTGTAGTAGATAAACCAAGCTTTCTTGCGCAAACCTTTAGCTAGGCAATTGTGCTCAAACGACAAGTCTGTTTTGGAGTATAAAGTCTGCCTTGATTTGGATCTTTTGCAAATAATTCTTAAGACAGTAGAAATGAATTATATACACATTTGTAGTACTGCATATTTTGTTGAAGATGTCAATGATATAAATTGTCAGTTTGAAAGAAATATAAAATCCCATGCATTATCACAAGAAATTTATTTTGTCACTTCCAGAAATTGCCTCTGATGGTTTGAAAGGTCGTGTGTTTGAAATTTCCTTGGCTGATCTTCAGAACGATGAGGTCTCCTTTAGGAAGTTCAAGTTGATGGCCGAGGATGTCCAAGGTCGCAATGTACTGACCAACTTCCACGGCATGGACCTGACAAGAGACAAGCTCTGCTCTATGGTTAAGAAGTGGCAGACATTGATTGAGGCTCACGTTGACGTGAAGACCACCGACGGATTCCTCCTCAGGATGTTCTGCATTGGCTTTACCAAGAAGAAGCAGTACCAGGTCAAGAAAACCTGCTATGCCCAGCACACACAGGTATGATGTAATGAATTTGATGTGCATTGTTTTGTCTTTAGTTGCCCAGTGAGTAACAAATCATATTCAACTAGTGTTGGGGATCGGTTAAAACCTCATGATCAATCAATCATTTGATAGTCCTTTTATAGAAATACTTCTTGTTGCCAGTCGCTTGTACAAGTAAATGAAACGTCATTTTATAATATCCTGTTAGTAATCTAGAAGCCCTTGTCAACTTTATTATATCAACTTAATCATTAATGTTCAGCTCAATGTTTTATCTAAATTTTGCCTGTGTAAATCTATATTAATGTGTTTGCTAATTTGTCAATCAGGCAATATTCCGATACAGCAGTATTTTACAGGAAGTTTTGTAAGATGTCCTAATATTATGAATTTTATATCGTTCTATCAACAATAATATATCTTCTTCATACTATGATCATGTTTAGTTACGATCAGAATATGCTACCTAATGCTAATTATTGTAAGAATTCATTTACGTCACTGTCACAGCTAACTTTACCCATTTATAAACATTCTACAGGTGAAGACGATCAGGAAGAAGATGGTGGACATCATCACACGAGAAGTTTCTTCAAACGACATGAAGGAGGTCGTCAACAAGCTGTAAGTCACTTGACTGGTCTCGTAATTTAGATTTACAAGACTGGAAGCTGCAGCACCTGACTGTGTCTACAACTAAACATATAAAGACATGACAGATTATTTAGCTTTGTTTGTAGTAAGACTGTTCTGGATTACTTGGTTTTTATGCCTTCAATAGATCATTGGGGACATGTAATGATACCCATGTCCTGTCCTGATTCAGTGTCTTCACTCTAGTGACTTAAAATTCTTCACAGATTTTGATCAAACTTTATGGTACAGAGATCAGATATGGCAACACTTTGAATGAGTTTCAAGGTCGATTTATAGAAATTTGTTAACCACTTTAGCGATACCTCGTAAGCAACATCACCTTGAAGAATTGCATGGGATCTGGGGCATTCATGTCCATGACTTTTTCTAGTTGATAATGTTACATGTATTTTACAGTATCAAATTATTTATCTGCTAATGTATCCATTCATAGAAACATTTAGGTCCCTGTACAGTTTACAATTCACCAGGATACCAGTTTAAAATGTATGAATATTATAGGATTACTTTATATACTTTAACCTCAATGTTCATAAATAGTTGATCTGAAGAGCATTAAATATTGTAACATTTTAAGGAGAGCATACAAAAGAAAGGAAAGATATATGTAACAATAATTTCAGTTAAATAGTTCAAAAGGTGTTTTTTTTTCAAAAAGAAGGCATTATTTTACAAATCACCTTCTGTATAAATATACCCCCATTGTTTCTTAATTTGTCAAGAAAAACATCAAGTTAATATCAACATGTGCAAATTTTCAATTTACTCGTTTTAGCAATCTTGACCAAAATGTCCATTCCCAAAAAATCTGTTTTGACCTTAAACAGTAAAATCTGAAGAAAGAAGAGAATGCTGTATACTTTCTAAATTTAGTTAAACAATTTTCTTTGCAGAATCCCAGACAGCATCGGCAAAGACATTGAGAAAGCTTGCCAGGGCATCTACCCATTACACGATGTCTACATTAGGAAAGTCAAGGTCCTGAAGAAACCCAAGTTTGACCGTGAGTATTCAGATGTTTAAAGCAACATATCTTCTAAATCTGAAATAGTTCACCAGGGTTGCAAGATTTTCTTTTAAACTAAAATTAATTAATATAAAACTGCAATGTTTCCTTTTTAAAATGTATGTGAACAGTTGAAAATTACTCAAATGCCTGAAATGAGAAAGTCATTCATAATATTATGAAAAATTACGGCTTTTTAGTGACGTTTTATGGCATTGAATCAAATTCAATCAGTTATGTACTCTGTGAATTTTGGTACAGACACCTTAGATTC